AAGAAACTAATGCATATTTTTCTAGAATTGGGACATATCTATATTTATATGGCAGTCAATTTTCATGACCAGTGTCTCGTATACATTTTAATAAATTCTCCTGGCAGGTACTTAGTAAAAAAGAATCACTACTTTAAAAGTGCAGTAAGGATTATCTTTCTGAAGCTGATTATATAAAATGCAGGGAGTACATACAATCAGTAAGGCATCTGTCTGTGCCTTGTAATAAATCTTGAAGAGCATAGTATCCTCCAAGAAACATTTAAACCAACAGAAAGCAGGATTAAGTCCTAAAATAGATTATTCAAAGATTTATGCAGAGAAAGAGACAAAAGCATGTTAGTAATAACATAAATTTACAGAAAAGTAGTGGTGATGTATCTGGTTAATTAAAAACAAAACAAAACAACAATCTAAAACAACTCAACAATGTTGAATAAATTCCAATTTCAATAAAATTGCTTTCAAAAAGAAGCCTCTAATGCTAATCATTTGAAGTACCCTTCATACTTTCATTCTATCTTCAGCCTTTGATTAGAATGGCTGCTAGGTAGTCAGCTTCTCCTGCCACCTGAAAAGCGTTTCAATCCACTAATAACTGCAATGTAGCATCATCTGAAGTATCACACATGGTTTACAAGAAGAGACTTCAATTTCTTCCCAATTCACACAGAGCATTTACTTCCTTGAAGAATTTCAAGTACAATTGTACTGTACTAGAAGGTTGGGAATTAATTAAAAAAAAATATATTCTCAGGAAAGAAGTGTCCAGATATATGGCAACTAAATAAAGTACATTTTAAGTGGGAAAAGCAGAACCAACCTGGCTTCCTTAAGTGCTTTTGTTTGTTTATTAGCACTACTAAAGGAACACTGGATAAGAAAGTACTCCTACCATCTCACTAAACTCTACAAATTAAGCTCAACTTTGTCCTTACAGCCAGAAAAACATGGAATCTCAGTAAAATTCAGTTTATTCTTTCGGCAAATGATTTTATTTTTATTTCATTATCAAAATTTCTATGCCTTCCTGTCTATAAGTATTCTTTGCCTTGTTGATTTGTTCATTTAATTTGTGATTATAGAACACAAGCCACTATATCGCTAAGTTTTGAGGTTAATGTCATCTGGGAATTGAATTGTGGACCAAACACAACCTTAACTGAGCGTGAGTAGACAAAATCAGGTTAGGAGAAAGTGCTCTAAGAAGAACTTTCCTTTCAAGAAAGTAACTCAAGATCCTTCTACAAATATGAAACACAATAGAAGATCACAGTTTCCTTACTTTTTTGCTTCCATAATCAGTTCTTAGTGTTTTAAAAGGTTACATTTACAACAATAGAAATCTCTTCAGTGTCACTAACTTGAATCTCCACTACTTGCTTATGCAACCGGCCAATGTAGCAAATAACTAAGAAGCAAACTCTTTCAGATCTGTATCAGTATGCCAACATCACACATGAAGATTTGCTCTCTATCAGTAGACATTTCTACTTTTTGTATAGAATTAAGCTACCCAGTAATGATGTTAATAGCAGTTTATTTACCAAACAAAATACTAAATTTAATATAATAACATGCTTAATTCTTGACTGGTTCAGTTCATATACTGATTTGATTCAAGTCAATAGATGTCAAGTACTGATGAAAAAAACTATGGAGACATAAAACTGGAGTCAGAATAGTACTAATAAATTATTTTCTATGGACTGTTTACTTATAGCTGGATGGGGCCCTGGGCAGCCTGGACTAGTATTAGACATGGAGGTTGGTAGCCCTGCCTGTGGGAGGGGTTTGGAGCTTGAGGTGATGATCCTTGAGGTCTCTTCCAACCTGGGCCATTCTGTGATTCTATGACATTCTGTTTGGGTTTTTTAAACCACAAGCATAGCTTGTTTCTTGTAACAATAGGAGGCAGTAGATACAGTTGCCTTTGACCAGTTTCAGATCAGCTTCAGTTTCAAGAAAGGCAGCAGTCACAGTTCAATTACACAATTATATTCAATTATCACAATAATAAAGAAAGAATTGCTTACCCCTTTTCTGAAGATTAGGGCTCACTAGAAATTCCTAAAGGAAGCAATCTCCAAGTAGAAATGCTTCCCTTTCAGCTGTCAGCCTTTAAGTGGAGTTACAGGTGAGCAGCTTGTACCTGTACTCCCAGGGCTGGCTAAGTCCTTCCCCAGGTACTCAATCACTGTTTCAGGCTGTGATCTAATGGCTCTCATACAGTTTTCAACATATTTTTGCCTAGGCCAGTGATAGACTCTAAACATCTTTCCCATACAACGTGAAGACGCTAACTTTTTAATTTTGATAGGAGTATTAAATTTTACTTCAGAGTTGTCTTTCATCAACTACTGTCATGTTTAATTGCAGTAAATTGTGATATTACATAGACCAAAAAAGAGCTGAACCTTGTCTGCTCACTTCTGATCCCAACTATACAAATATCTGAAAGACTCTTAGAAGATTTGCCTGGGTTTTACAAATTAGAGGAAGAGATAACAGTACATTATTACAACTTAGTGCCTCAGCCAAATAAATGTCCTTGTAAAACAGCAAACAAACCAACAGATTTATATTTCCTTGAACTTAGCAGATAAAACTGGAAATTTTTTGTATTCTTGGCTGAAGATATCCTCATGCCAGTGGACAGTTTAAGAGGGTCTGTTTGTTTTATTTATGTTGTCTCTCTCGCATACATAAAAAATAAAACCAATGAAAATATATTTTAATAACATGACCTTTCAAATTCTTTTGCTAAAGATTATGAAAATTCCTAGTTAATAAAATTACTGAAAAATAAATTATGCAAATTTAACTACCATCCAAATCTTTAGAGAACAATGTTTCACCAAACATCGTTGGGAAACTTTTTCAAGGGTGCCTTCGGGGGGTCAGTATCTGACGCTGTGGCAAAAATAAACAAATTTCTGGAAATTAAATGTAAAATTTAACAACAGAGACAAAAGAAATTCAAGGATCTTTGCAGTAAACACATGACATTTGTAATGAATTCATTTCTGAATGCCTCAGTGGCAGGAAACCTTAAAGAGAAGCCCGTAAAGGAAATTCACATGAGCAGCAGCTAGAAAAAGTAAGGTCATTGCAAAAAACATTAAAAGATTTTATTGTGAGAATAGTGGAGGACAGCAGTGGTATTTCTGAATTAGAATACTTTCTTACATGGAACATAACAGAAGACGTCTCAAACCGTTATGCCAGTTACAAAGTCTACAGAACAGTGTAATAAAATGGATATAACAGACTGCCAAGGAGTGACCTCCTACTAATGTCCCTGACCTGGGCCCCAAGGAGGTAGCACACTTCCCTACAAGTAGGGTCTGGCCAACATATGGGGCCCTCTGTTCCTTAGAAGGGAGTCACCTATAACAATTAGCTACTTCTTTCCTGAGTGGAAGCAGTCTTGAGGTGTGGAGTCAACTGCTTCACCGTAAGCAACCTCCTGGATGGACCTTTCATTGCATCCTCACTTATATCTCCCTTGAGTTCCAGAGCTTCAAACACTAGTATGTAGGGGCACTTGGGAATTGAGATAAGATAGGGACAGGGTTTGCTTGCAATGCTGAGCTGGGACCTGTTTCCACCCCTCCTCATCTCATAAATCCCTTTCCTCTGCCCAATGGTGGCAGGGCATCCACACTGTTTGGAGGGGTCTCATCCCAGTGCCTGTCTTGCAGGTATGGCAGTGAGTCTCTCCACCAGTCTATCTCCTTGCACTCCCTGATGATCTTTAACCTCTCTACCATGTTACTGAGCAGATCATCCACTTGCCCACACTTCACACAAATTATATCCCTGCTGCCCTCCACTGGCAGCAACAGGCTCAGGCACTCCCTGAGCCACATATTTTTTTGGCAGGCACTCCATCTGAGTCACTATGTTCTTTTTGTCAAGAATTTTCTGCCTTGTGGAAATCACAGCCAGATTTGTTGTCTGGGAGGCAGCTCATAGGTGAGCCAGTCTCCTGAGTGGGGAGGAATAGTACATCCTCCCTGCTTGCCTCCCTCCAGGGAGAAACTGCCTGCATCGTGCCCATCTGACATGCCATGTCCTGTTTGCCACACTCCTGGTTGGCTGTACTCCCCAGGGCTAGGTTAATACACACAGAAAGTGATAGGAATTGATCACTGTTTTCCCCTCAACATCATATCCTAACAAATATTCTATACCCTAATTACTTCACTGATACTCCATGAAGACTATGTAAATGACATCAATTTTGAAGTACTAGTATCTAATTAAGTAGATTAATCATAAGGACAATACAGTACAGCATTAGGAACATCTCACATAGTTGTTCCGCTCACAAAGAAGCAGAATTGCTTCTGAAAGGTTCATGGCAATAGAAGGCAAAGTATTCACAGGGAGGCCAGTAGTCATATAAAGAAAGAGGAGTTAGAACTTGCCCAACCAGTGATCTCCGACTACACAGCAATCCATGTCAAGACAGAGCCTAGGTCCAAGACAGGCTCCCCCTACAGTAGCAGGCCCTTGCATGAGCCCAAGGCTCCACCTTGGGTCTACCCCTTCCGATCATGTGGAGAGGAGTACAAAAATTTTGCCTGTGCCCCCTAGGCCAGCCTCACCCCTTCACAAGGTGCTCAATCACCAGTTCAAGCCATGACTGAACAGTATACCTCCAACAGTATTCATAGTGTTTTTAAAAAGTTAAAAAATGATCTAGAAAATGTTAAAGATGGTCAGAGTCCTCTTACTTGAACTTCTGTGACTGAGAAGTCTATCCTTTTTCTCTCTTCATACCAATGTTTTCAAGAAATTAAACATATAAATACAAAAAGGATTTGATTGTATATTCCTTCCGTAAGGAAACTTAAATATCACCTCACCAAGTCCAGCACATTTTATTTAAACTCTACTGCTACTGCAAAAGCTGTAGATACCTACTCACACAAAATGAACAAATGAAGACAACACCATGAACATTTTCAACACTTTATTCGGTTTTCTGTCAGGTAACTAAAATACAAGTTAAAAAAAAAAAAAAAAAAAGAGGAAAGAAAAAGAAAAGAGTCAGAGCCTGAGATATTCAATATAAATCAAGAATACCTTCAGCTAAATAAAGCCTATTTTTCTGTCCTCCCATCTCTCTTGGTGGCCTTTTTTTTTTAAGGCAACTAGGTGAGCTTGACAGCTTAAAACAACATAGTACGTCACAATAATATAAAGATAAGCCATGTCTGAATCCCAGCCTGACAATTCAAAGAATTTCCCAATGTTAACACATTAGCATCTCTTGAAAAGCGATCCTTCTTAACTTTTTAGTTCATCTTATCCCTAATGATGCAGTATGCCTCCCTTTCAGATTTATCTACCAACTTTTCTGAACGGCACATTTTTCAGTTCATGTTTCCCAGCCACACTCCTTTCCCAGCTGGTTTCTACCTATATTGTAATTGAGTAGAGGCAGTTTCAATTCATTAACACAGGGACTTTATTCTTGCTGTGGGTTATTCAGTTCCCATTGTCACGTTGTAATTAGATGAGTTTCTTTTACTTTCCTATCTAGAAGTACTAAATGTTACAGACTTTATCAAAGTGTTGTTACTACCTGGTTCAACATGGTACAATAATAATGCCAGCCTGATCCTATGGGATCACGACTTCAGCACAGAAAACTGGCCTGAGTCCCTTTCAAGGAGTGTTTCCTTCAGGCACCTCAAAATCCATCTAATATCTACCTTAAAACCTGTGTATCTTTCATTATTTTCATCAAGATAGTAATAGTTCATTTAAGTTTATCTCTAAGTTAACATTTTCCCTAGTTAGGCTGGTGGAAATCATCTTCAACCTGTTTCACCAGAATTCAGTTACCACTTACCTCAATACAGAGACCAGTGGACTCCATGTCAACATCATTAGGATGCTTTTACTGCAAGTTCACATCATAGAACCTAGGGCAAACCGCACTTACTCTCACAGCCTATTTTTACTTAGTGTGCCATCTTACAGAGATCTTAGAATTGAATATGACCAAATATTTAGATGCACATCTCTTCTGTTTTAGACCTTTTAAATCTTCTAAAACTCTTTCCAGTCCTTTGCATGTAATCTCTTTCCCTAATAGATTTCATTTTTCATTATCTCCATATCCATCTTATGTAGCTACTTACCTAGCTTCTACATATTTTTTTCCCACGTGTTTAAGTTCCCCATTTTTAAAATGGGGACTCCTGACTGGCTCTTCACTTGCTAAATCAATTCTTAATCACAGGGATGGAAAACAGTTAACTATTACCCTGCAATACACTGAGAGTTTTCTCCTTGGTTTTGTATGGTGCCTGCCTGTTTCTCCCTGCTTTCACCACATCTTTAAGCTACCCCTACCTTCTTCTTTACAAGTACGCTCTCTTGAAGTTTTTTTCTATTATTTTTAATGAGTGATGGTGCATGTAGGAATATTTTCTCCCATTCTTTTGCCCACTTACTATAACACACATTCAATTTCTGTATCATGCTTGACTGCTATAATTGCCTCGGTAAATGTATACAAGGGCTGCTCCAAAAGTTACACTCCTTGTTTTATTTACTGGCCCATTACATCCAAAGCAAACGGTGATGGTTTGGCAGTAAAGAACCTTCCCACCAACATTCCATTACATTTTGTTGCTGTGCAACAGATGGCAGCAGAGGGGCTATCTGACAAATTAACCTCCAACACGAAAGCGCATATGAAACAAAGGTCTGTCACTGAATTCCTCCATGCAGAAATTGTGAGCGCAGTGCAGGTGTGGGTGGTGCATTTTGGCAGTGGCAACAGCAGCATGAAAGACAGGCCACATTCTAAATGGCCATGCTCAACTGTCACACCTTGAAATGAAGAGTATCTCAGTCAGCTCATCCACGCAAACTGTGCAAATATCATTACTGGTGACAAGATGTAGCATCACCACTACAAGCCAGAGCCAAAACGGCAAACCAGAGGGTGGTATACATGTTAATTCCACACATAAGGAAAAGTCTAAGATGCAGTTCTCAATGGGTAAAGTGATGTGCATGGTCTGCTGGGATAGGAAAGGAATGATTCTCCTGGATTTCCTAGAAAGTGGACAAATCATCACCTTTGACTGCTACATCATGACACTGCCCAAGCTAAAGGCTTTTACTTCCAGAATCAGGCCGGAGAAAACAATCTTTCTCTTGCAACGCGGTAACACCAGGCCCCACACCAGTTTGAAGACTGTGGAGCACACTGCTAAATTTCTCTGGACTATCCTTCCACACCTACCAAATAGCCTATAGATTTGTTGCCTTCTGACTTCCATCTGTTTGGGCCAGTGAAAGATGGACTGCATGGACAACATTTTCCTAGCAATGATGCCATCATAGCAGCTGTGAAACAGTGGGTCACCTCTGTTGGTGCTCTTGTTCATCACTAATGAAAATGCATAGCTAATGGTGGTGGCTACGTTGAAAAATAGTGTTTTGCAGCTGAGAATGTGCTCTCTCAAAGGAGTGTTATTGTGCTGTTTGCATCTGCTTTACTTCTCATGGAAATAAATAGGAGTTGTCACTTTCAGAGCAACCTACGTAATCTATTATTCTTTCTACAATTCAGGATAAATAGGATAATCATCTTTGTCTACTTTTTTTTTTCCCATTTAAAAACAGTCAAATCAGCCAAAGAAACAAAAAACTCACAACTTTCTGTCTACGTTGCTTTTCTTTCTTCCCATAAGCCTGCTAAGTAAGAGATTACTACTTGTGCTTCACGTGATCTACTTAGGTATCATTCTCTCTGACCAAGCTGCAACAAGTAGCGTTCTATTTTAAATTTTGACCACATTCTAGAAATTAATTTCTAATGACTTTTATAACACCAGTATTACAGTTAAGCCTGAGACACAACTGTCAAACAGTCTAACTTTTAAATCAGCTAGCAATTTTAGAAACAATTCAAAAATGATTAAAATGTTTCTCTCAGCACAGATAGAACCTAACAGACAGTCCTCTATTTCAAGTGTACTGTTTGGACAGCACAATTTAAACAGAAAAGTAACAGTAGGAATCAGCATTAAAAAATGGGACAGCTCAATTAAAAACTGCTTTAATTTTCTGCGTTGATGCATCTGGAATGTCATCGACTGGTTGTATTAAATTGTGCAAAATACTGACTTGTTGGACAATTTGAATATTCTTCTTCCTTAAGATAAATGTTCCTAGCAACAAACAAAAAAACACAGTTAGTGACTCTTTTCTCAGTACACAGAACTTACTTGAGAAACCTAAGAAAGATGTAATGCATAAATTCATAATGCTCATAAAATTCAGAATTATTGCGAATGGAATTAAATGTAACTGTACTTGCAACATGAATATCATGTCTCGATACTGCAAATTTTATTTTTCAACCTAAAGTAACCTTCCAGATCCTCACAATGAAAAACTAAATTATCACAATTCAGAATTTTTGCTTGCATAATAAGAAAGCACCAAGTATTAGGAATTCTTTTGCAAGATATATAGGTGGATATATGATGAGAAGGAAAAAAAAGTCAGATTGGAGGATTAGAACATTGAATCAGTCGGCTTGACTTTTTTCCCTGTCATCTTCCCTCTTTCTCAGCACTTCAGAAACAACACCTATACACCATGATCTGTCAGTGGTTAGCTACAAAATCAGCTAGTTTTGACATAATGTCAAAGCTCCGTTTGTGTGATCAACTTCACTTAGAGCTATCAGAAACTGGAAACTTTTAATGAAGTGGGTGGACACCTATCCTGTTATTTATTTCAGAAAAGGAAGGTAAATGAAAGAAACACATACTGTTTCATACCCACTAATATGATTTGCTGTCTAACTGTATTTATTTGCTCTTTTGTTATCTATATAAACTTAGCAGTCTGTTGTCAGTGGAACACTGCTAAGAATTTCAGCTACTATTCCATATATGTGGATCAATAAACATCACAATCTAGTCTTTGAAGGTGTTTCCAATGGTAATGAAAAGCATTCTTAATCTAAAATGCTAATTTTTTTAAAAAGTATAATTTTACAATAAATTCGTTAGAAAAGAAACAAACTTAAGACAAGCAGAGAAGTTCTTTGAAAGCCAAGCAATTGTACCAATGGCAAAGAGTTTTTCTGAAAAGAAGAAATCTCTCTTATCACGTACTTTGATTTCTGCTCCTGGGATAGTTGTGCATTTATGCTGTCTAGAGCTTGGCGGCACTCCCGATTCTGTCGTGCTTGATGCCGCTCTAAAATTAACTGTGCTCTTGCCGCCTGCATGCTTTGCCTGTCCCATTCAGCATCTCTTTGGCGCTCCTCCTCTTTTAATTTCTGCAAGAGGGGAAAAAAAAAGCTTCATTTTTTCTTTAGTCAAAGACAAAAATCCTTATTGGTCTTATTGGTAAATTCATCCAAACAACAAACTTGCTATCCTTTGCTGAACACTAGGGGTAGCACTCGAAATAGGGAGAAAAAGTACACACTTCTGAACAAGGTAGGAGCACACGCAGTAGACAGTACTAAAATAGTTTAGATCAGGAAGCTACTCTCTTCTAAGGAGCACTCCCTAGAAGAGACTCCTACTTTTGCAAAAGAAGAAGGTAAGAAATGTAGGCCTGCTGTCTGGCAGAAATACTGTCATTAGACTATTATTTCTTTTCTACATCCTAGCTCTTTCCAAAACACATACATTGGCAAGATTACTATATATATATATGTATATATATATATATTACTATATATATATTACTATATATATATTAAGTTCCCAGACCCAAATAATTTCTTTCTCTATCATCTCTGTGATACTACCACTTCTACTGCATTTCTTATCTGATATCAACGTGAACTGAATCAAGAACAAGCCAGCAAAAACCTTCTCGCTTTCACATTCAGCTCCCGCACTAAATGAATTAAGTAGCTTCCTATATAGTAATACTATGCCAACACACTTCTGACTGCAAAGGAGGTATACATTTCTTCATTTAGACTGCCTCCATCCATCCACCTGTAGAGCATCAATTACTGGCAATATTTAGTCTTTCTATTGCAATCCCATCTCAGAGCATGAGTCATAAATGTGCAAGAAAGTAAAAAGGAAATTCAGGAATTTCAAAGACTGTGAAATATACATGAGTAGTATCACTGGATAGGCTCTCTTTGTCTTGCTCAGGTTTCATGTGTCCATGAGGACACTGTTTCAGATTGTCTGTCCTGCTGTGACTGTCAGTTCCTGGCTCCTCTTCCCGTATGGAGAAGACCACTCCTATTCCTGCTCATCTCTTGCTGGCAGTTCATGCTGTTTCAAGTCCTAAACTGAGCACCATGAAGCTTGGCCTTTGGGCTGTGTAGGGCCTTGATCCCCAGCTGGGTGACCATGGACCATGCCCCAGGATTCTCAAGGCCCCCTGGCCTTGATCTTCACAGCAACCTACCTTTCAGCCCAACCCCAAGGAAGGCTCCAGCTTGCTCTTGCTCCTCTCTGGCAAGCCTCCCAGGTGCTTCAGAGACACTGTGTTAAGTTTGAATGATTAATGTTTGGTGAAGCTCTGAACAACAGAAAAAGTCTCAAAACTGGATATGCAGTGCCAACTTAAAAATAGGTTCTTCAGACTACATTGTTTATAGTACTATTACAACCAAGAATACAGAATATGCACATAAGTGTAAATACCAGCTTCTCCAGAACTTGTTGTTGTTGAAAGGAGCGGATTGCCATCAGCTGATCCTGATTCATTCCTTTCCACCGATCTGTGATCACACGATGTGTACCAAAGGAACTGATAGCTTGCTCAGGGTTTTCAGAAAGTAAGTTTCCTTGAAGCTGGCTGGAAATTTCATCCATATCATCTTTCATTTTTTGACATTTATCCAGCCTCTTTCTTTCAGCTAGTTCAGCAGCCTAAAGTCAACAAAAGTAGAGAACTAATAGCTTTTCTGATAGAAAATATTAACTTAAGGGATGCAAAAAAATTAGCACCAAATATAGATTTATTCTCAAATTCCATACAGTTGTCAACAGCATCACATGTGAATATTATGATCACGGCCCTACTGGTCAAAAAGACTGAAAATCCAATGGCATGCATTAATTATATAAGCATAATAGCATTGTTTTAATTTTATCATATCTTATCCCCGCTAGGGCAAAGAGCATGGGCTGTCAGACCTGCCTCTTGCATATACAGTTTTGCACATATATCATGACTGCAACAGGCCAATGGATACCAATTTTTCCAGTTTTTCCAAGATTCTCTCATTGTCTGCTGAAAATTACTGGCTTTGAAAGTGAAAAGTTGAAAACTCTAAGGCAGAGTAACTAGAAGAGATCAACAACTGAGAATGACAGGCCTATCTAGACCCAAATGCAGGTCCTTTGCAAGAGTTACAGAGAAGAATTCTCCACTCAGCAAGCATGATGATCCATCCCACCAGAGAAGACTGCTAACCTGGGTTTATCTCTACACTTGCATTTATGGACTTTGTTTTTGTATGACAGGAGCTCTCCCAAGCATCAGGCCTGGAGAATGTCAAAGGGTTTTTTATTTGCCATGGGCAAACATAGACAATGACCCATTAAAGACTGGAAAAAAAAATAACAAAAGTATTAGATGTGCAATCTAAGAAAAGATGAATTCTATTTTTTCATGATAAATTAGTCAAGCTTCCAATTAAATAAGATTATGCAGAAAATACCATGTTGTTGTCATTAGATGATTCATTAGAGATTACAAATGCCAACAAAAAGACAAAGCAAAAACCACAAAGATTTTCAATGTTTCCATACTTCTGGGACACCAAACCAGAATATCCTGGTATATACTTTTAGCTTATTAATACTACAAATACAGCAATTATTTTTAACTCTGGAAATGCTCCAAAATAAAGCACACTTAACAGAAAGTCATTTTGGATGGATTTCACATAAATAATTCCTGAACAATGATGAAGAATTATTGAAGTTTAAACAGTGTAATTTTTACTGACATCGCTTTATGAAGGCAGTTTCGCTGTGATTTAGCAACAAATCCAAAATAGGCACTTACACCTTGTTATTTTAACCTTCTCACAGAGAGAGCCTAAAGTTTTCTGAGTTGCCTGGGAATCTTACTGGAGAAAACTCTCAACCCTGTGCATAGCTATGCAGCACTGTAAAATGATTAATGACATTGTGAAATAGAGACTGGGTAAAATCTGATGTATTTTCTGTCAAGACAGTTGGCCAACAAAACAAAATTTATTGGTGTAGCACGAAAACAAAAAACAAGGCAAACAGATGCACAAATATATGCTACTTCATTTATTTTAATTTGTGCTCCATCGTTCCTATTATATACTTCCATTCCACTGACTCAAGTCAAAAAAACAAAATAAATGTACATGGAAGCACTGCAAGGTCAAGACTTCACACGCTTAGAGTATTGCCAAGCTCTGAGTGTACATGGAACTAAACTGCTCCCAACACAGGACTAAAAGAACGCACCATGTATTCTGAAGTCCTTACCACAAGCCATGAAGCTCACAAATGAACAGAGTGATCCATCCATAGTCTTATGAGCTTGGGAAAGATGTATATCCCAAGAATAGGACATGAGTGACAAAAGATATTTGCACAGCACTCTTCAAAGAATGCTTAAAAACAGAGTTACCATGCTTCTATGTTTACACAAATATTTTATTTCAGGTGAAAAAAGGCTTCAAACTATCTACTCAAAGTCTTGAATTTGCTGGGCACTCTGGACTGATAAATTTGAAGTCAGATACAAAAATTCCTTTTCAAAAATTCATTCTCTGGCTGAGTGCCCCAGTTTTCTCTTAGGAAAAAAGATGTATAGAAAATCCCTCTAAAAGGCACAGCCTTTTTCTCTTAGACACAACTGCTACCTGTACAATATAGTAAAAATGAACTACACTGAGATTGTTGCTTCTTTCTCTATTATTATGCCCTTTTGTGAGAAAACAAACAAACGTTACATGTATTTAATATGAGCACAAATAAACTAGAATGTACAAGGCCAAATATTAAAAACAAACAAACAAAAAAATTACACCAGACACAAACTTCCCCTCTACTCCACCCCATTTCCCAAGCTCCATCACAAATACAGGAACTTATACATGGAACAAATTTGTACAACAACAATTATTTTGGTTATTATTATTAACTAAAGTGCATGTAGATGTACCATTTGGGGTACTTTTGCAGGTACTGATGTAAAATAGCCTTTAGACTATTTTAGACTATTAGACTTCAATCAATAAAATCCTTTTCAATTATCTTGTCTAGCTGTATATATATAAACTTACATACACACACATATATATATGTATACACATATGCTCAATGTAGTTTGAAGGACTCAGGCAACACTTATTCAAACATGTGCATACATACTATCACACTTTAATCAAAATACCTGCCTTATGTAGGTAATGTAACTAAGGCACATGCCTTATTTTGTTGTGTCTTATTTTGTTGTGACTAAAAAAAGGTAATTCAGATCAAATATTGTTTAACAAAACAAATGGTGTCCATCCAGCCCTTTAAGCTGCGCATAGAAGATATACAGGATTAACTTAGTAAGAAAATCTGTACAGTAAGATGAAGAATTGGAGCATGATAGATTGCAGTACAAAGACAGGTGGAATGGAAGTGAATGGAATGGAAGACCATTAAGTTTAACTGCCTCTTCACAGCTAACCAAAAGTTACAGTATGTTATTTCAGGCGTTGTCTGAATGCCCCTTGAACACTTGCCTTGGGGCATCAACCACCTCTCTAGGAATCCTGTTCCAGAACTTGACCATCATCACAGTGAAGAAATTGGTCTGGTTACCAATGATAGAGAAAAGTTCATGTTATGTTTCAGTGAGTTCCAAAGCTTGCTTGGAAAACAACCTAGAGACAGATACACAGCATGTGCTAAAAACAATGGTCTTGGGGCATTAAAATAAGTGATAAAGACAAAAAGCTACTGGTAATTTCTCCACAAAAAGGAAAAGAAAAGCTGGCAGAAGCAGCTAAAATTATCAGATGACTGAAAAAAAAAAAAAGAAAACCAAGAAAAAAAAAAAACAAAAAACAACGAGAAGGAAGTGCTGAAGGCTTTTGCTGTACTGCATTTTACAGACTAGAAGTCCCAGAGAGATGGCATTAGTGGCTGCATGCTACAACAAGCTGAGAACAAGAAGGAAGCATTCTCACAGAAGGTAACCAGGTAGAGGATAGCCAGATCCTTGCAGATGACAAAGAAGTGAAAAAATCTTCTGAATCAACACTGAAAGGTAGCTGCTATCAAACATCTGTGGAAACATCACTACTTGTTATACTTTTGCTCACTGGTCATCTAATTTCCCCTCCATTTTCTCTCCTCCCCACTCATTAACAGAAACAAAAACCAACATGATGAATTTACCTGGCTTTTGTTAAAGTCTTTGATAGCTGCACAAACAGCACGTCTGGTTTCTTCTTCTATTCGTTGTTGTTCCATTATCTTTTGGTCCAGTTCAATCCTATTCTTGTCATGAAGATCATCTGAATTAGATTAAAATGAAATGCAGTCAACTTTCATGGACATTGTGTGTCATATGAATATGGAGGAAGGGGAGGCTAAAGATGTAGCAAGCTGATTTAGGAAATTATTTCCCAATCCTGTCACCAAAGCTTTCCATCTTGGAATTTCAGATGATTCATGAAATCAGTTTATTTTGTAATCAATCTTGTCTTAGCAGGTAAACAAAGTTTAATAATAATAATAATAATAATAACAATAATAATAATAATAAACACTAAGCATGTTTAACAGCAAGATAAGAAAAAGAAAAACGAGATTTTGTTTGCTCTATAAAAGTAAAGACTGGATGATTTGGCCTGCTGAAGTGTATATATATATGTGTGTGTATATATATATAATATATGTATATATGTCATGCAAAGTACAGATGATTTTTCAGAATACTCTGATACTTCATACAAGGTTTAAAACAGAAATGAAGCCTAGGTAATTATTCAATCATTAAGTTATTAAATTCTTCATTTATATATCAAATACATTACAAGTTGTAGAGCAAAAACTGCTCTTTCTCTAAAAGCTGAATACACCAAAATACTGCTATGTCAGAACCTTACATAACAGGCTATAGCACAATTGTGTCCTAAACACCTGACTTACAGAGAAAACAGACAAAACCTCCCTTATCTTCTCTTGTTACCTAAAAATTTTTTATCAGCTAACGCATTCTTGTAATCTCTCTGTTGCTGAAGAGACCACTCTCTTAACTGCTCCTTTTGAAATTTCGTCCTCTGAGCATAGTTTAAGTCTTCACCCATAAACTTCTGCAAGCCAGATACAGTGCATCGAGGATCATTGTCTGAAAGCCGAGCAGGTCTATCCTTCTTTAGAGCCTGGGGATCAGATAGATCAAATTCACGTCTCGTTTCTGGCTGCTGAAAATTCTTCTGAAAGTCACTGACAGCCTTGTTCACGTCTCTGATGTTGCGTTTTTGTCGTTCTTCTAACATACACATCAACTTGTCATTTTTCTTCATTTCATTAGCTAGAGTAAAATGAGCACAACAAACATATAATTCTTAGAAGAGTATACAAATCGAGATGGAAAACATTTTCAAAACGAATAAATAGGAATACATGTATTCCAGGGTTAGGAATGACTATTTCATCTACAAAGGGTCATTCTGCAAAACACTCTAATGTTAGTAATATTTATTTGTAGAGTACTTTAATGTTTCTAGGAGTTAATTTTCTTACTAATGTGAAATTATATATAAGCATGTGAAAAGAATACAATAATAAGTACCTCTGGAACTAAAAAATTTCATTTGATGAAAACTTGCTTTACAGATGAAGTGTATTGTTTACTAATTCTTCATATTTACTTCCAATTTAGCATTATGGCTAAAATACAATAAATTCCTTATTAAGAATACACAATAAAGAATTCTCAATTTAAGACATGTGGGTTGCTCCATAAGTAATGTTTGTTTGTTTCCATGGAAACTACAACAGATAAAAAAAGCACAATAACACTATTTAACACAGCACATTCTCAGCTATAAAACACTATTTCCAACAGAGTCACCACCATTTTTGTCAGTAATGAACAAGAACCTACATGCTGTGCTCATAAAAATCTGTACCAGCAGAGGTGACCCATCGTTACCACTGCTGAAACAGACCATCCATGTGCTAATGTCCACTGTTTGGTCTTCACCAACACTCAGTAAGCATCAATGAATGTCACTGGGTGCCACTTTTTCTGCATGAAGTTATTCAGTGACACACCTTTGCACATCCTCGCCAGATACCATTTTCTCAGACAGTCCCTCTGCTGCCACCTGTTGCACGACAACAATATGTGTAAGAATTACCAGGAAGGTTCAACCTCTACTGCCATTCCACCAACATTTGCTTCTGATGTCATGGACCAACATAATAAAATAGGAGGCATTACTTTTTGAGCAACCTTGTAGTTATTTCAGTTTCAGTAATTTTTCTAAGCACAGCACTAAAAGAATTGGCTGTTGCTAACAGCTTTTGAAGAGCTTAATAGCTCTTATGTATTTAATAAAAATGCTAAATAATCCAGTCAAAAGTTAAAAAAAAAATGCATACATGATAGCCATTCAAATATAATTCACAATGAAATATAATTTCCTTTGATGCCAGACTTCTGGCAGTTTCCTAGGGGTCTGAGTCTGCCAGGTATTCCACCAGGATAATCAAAACCAACAGCGGAGGAAGGAAGGAATGGAAGGAAGCACGGAAGCTGTCATTTGCAATTGAACTCTTTCTGAAACATGTAGAGTGCCCAGTCTGTGGGACCTTTAGAAATGATACCATAAAAAAGCGTTCCAACCAAAGAGGGTCATCAAGAGTTTTGAGACAAGTCCAGATAGGTCTAAAATATTTTTGTGGCTATGTGTTCTGACTCAATTGAGAGCAATACCTCTCAATTACAGCCCTGTTGTTTGCGACACATGCAAGTCTGCAGATGATACTCCAAGCTGAGCAGCAGTGCTGATGCACTGGTGGGAAGGGATGCCATTCAGAGAAACCTTCACAGGCTTGAGAAGCAGGCTCATGAGCATCAAGTTCAACAAGGCTAAGTACGAGTTCTACATTTGAGCTGGGACAGTCCATACATCAGTACAGACTAGGAGATGAACTGATTGAGAGCAACCCTGCTGAGAAGGACTTGGGGATATTGCTGGATGAAAACTGAATTTGTGCTGGTAATGTGCCCTCACAGCCTAAAATCTCCTGGCCTCATAAGAAGTGCAGCTAGCACTTTGAGTGAGGCAATTATACCCACCTCCTCTGCTCACAGTAAAGGCTGGGGTCTTGTGTAACTCACTCTGGGGCCCCCAGCACAAGCACCTGTTGAAATGAGTCCAGATGATGGCCCACTAAAAGAGGGCTGGAGCATCTCTCCTATGAGCAAAGGCTTGAGGGAATTGTGCTTGTTTAGCCTGGAGAAGAAAAGGCTGCTGGAAGACCTTACTGCAACTTTTCAATATATAAAAGAGGCTAACAAGAAATAGACTTTTTACTAAGGTCTGTAGTGACAGAACAATGGGCAATGATTTTAAACTTAAAGAAGGTAAATTTAGATTGAATATAAGGAAGAATTTTTTTTTTTATGAGAGTGGTGAGACAGTGGGACAGGTTGGCCAGAGAAGTTATGGATGTCCCATCATTTCAAGTGTTCAGGGTAAGCCTGGGAAGGAGTTTGAGCAGCGTGATCTTGTAAATGATGTCCCTGCTTATGGCAAGGGGGTTGAACTGGATGATAAAAGTCACTTCCAACCTAGGCCATTCTATGATTTTAGCAACAGAAATCTGTAAAATATTGTATCTACTGATCCTGTATAAGAACAGACAGAAAAAACATAAACTTATTTTGCAAGACAGCAGTAAAATAAGTTTGCCACTTCTGCTTGAAAAAGAATTATTATTTTTCCAAATCATCTTATATATTCAGGTCTCTAACAATGCTATTTATCAAGATTTATTAAAAGAAAACACTGAAGATTAAAACCTATTCAGAAATACACACCAGTTTACTCATGACAGTACAAATCCCTGAGACCCTATCTCAGATAATAAGGAAAACACACATTCTACCAATGCAAATGTATAAACATAAATAGGAATACACAAAGGATTCATTTTGTAAGTATGAATTTAGACAAAAGCCTAATTGCACATGCACTTATAAATATATAGATATACAGAGTTGATAATCAAGGAGATAGACTTCATTTGAAAATAATTATAGCTGTTCAAAATATATGGGTGTCCAACCTTTTAGTTTGCTGAGCTGCACTGAGTGAAAATAAATAATCTTTGGCCATATACAAAAATATATAATATAGTTAATATAGACAAGTAACAAAACAGTTATTTTTAAAATATTTTTTATTAAAACATTAAAAATAGGGCAATAAAAGCAAAACTAGTAGGCTGGACGCGTATAAAAAGAAAAAGAGGGAATGAAATACATGACAAATCTGTTTACATTCAACTTCATACAAACATGAGTCTATCTAAGAATATAATGAATATACCAAGTTCTTCATTTCGTGCTTTTTCAGTTGCTTCTTGAATTTTCCTATCCTTAACCTGGGCATCCAATGCATCTTTATCAACCTATTAAAACAAACAAACAAAAAAGTAAAAACAACAACACACCAACTGTTACTGGCTGTCACTGGATGTCTTTGTAAGACTTATAAAAAACACTGACAATTCTTCAAGAGCCTGATAAAAGTGTTTTAATAGTCTTTGCCTATTAGAATCACAGAGTCACTAAGGTTGGAAAAGACCTCTAAGATGATCTATTCCAACTGTCCACCTACCACACATGCCCCTCACTGCCACACCTTCATGTCCCTCAAGCACCTCCAGGGACAGTGACCTATAAATACTTTGCCTTATTTCTGTAGCAATCAAAATGATGGAAGTCAACCATTTGCCTCACTTTTAACTTTAATTATTTTTCTACCTTCCATACTCCTCCTGACCTTTTTTTCCAATTCCTACTGTTTTGGTTTTTTTTAAGCTCAGATGATGGATAACTATCTCCCTGATGCCCCTCACACTTATAAACATGCACACCAGAGGATGAGAAGCACAACAGCCATGGCGCATTTACCTCTGTCATACATGCAATTCTCATTCATTCAAAAAGGCAAACTATAAGGTAAACTATAGATTTAACTTGCTCATTCTAGAACCATGCTTCCTCTAGTTGAAACATTAGCAAGTTTAAGGCTGAGATATGCAAGTGGGATTTAAATTAAAAATTCCTTGCTATAAGCAGTTTGAAGCAGTTGACTTCTAATTTGTAGTTATGCATAAGAATTCCTAAGTAAATGGAACGTCTTTCATCATTTTTCATTAGAACTGCTCATCTGAACTCTTTCAGAAAAGTACTGAATTATCGAGGATTAATTCTTAAATCTGTAATGAGATGCACCATGCTTTCCCATTTCTGAGAAAACTAAACATACAGAAATCAAAGTAACTAGTAATAATCATGGAAAAAAAGAATCTTACTTCCCATTCTGCTTTCCAGACAACATTTTATCCCATTTTAATAACTTCTCAATCCGTGGTTCAAATAGTTTTGTAGCTGCCAAATATTGCCTTCATTTTTGAATAGTCACAGACAATCACTCCACTAAATTAGTGACAGAATGAGAAAACAAAGAATCTAAAACCTCACCGGAAATAGATATATTCTCTATACCTCCATAGCTTTGTTGACTCCTGCTTTGGACTTGGCTTAATTTCAAACCACAAGAATAGTCTCTTCTGTAAGCACTTCTTGCTCAGCCAACAAATATAGTATTATGAAATGATGTTCATCAAAATATTTACAGAATTCTTCCAATGGATTCACTTTCACTTTAGATGTTTGTCTTGTGTAAATGGATCTATCAAAACCTGTCCAAAGGTGGTTCTACAACAGTATTTGGGTAAGATCTCCAGACGGTATAAATCAGCATTGCTCAGTAAAGTACAGAGATCCAATGGTCTTCCCTAAGCGAGAAAGGGCATTTTACATTCAATATTCAAGGCTCAAGGAAAGCCATCATAAGAGAAACTGTGCTTCCTAGCAAAGAAAGTTGAACTGTCATACCGTGCCCACGGAACTTTGTTAAAACACATTATTAGCTCCTATCATTTAACTGTACCATTGGCTACCGTGCCTGTTACTTTACCATGTCACTGACTGCTGCACAAAGGTCACGAGAGCAATTCCAAGGTGCTGCCACAGACCAGGTAAACATATCCTTCTGCTGCCATATGAGATGCTTCACTACCTGAGATTGCTTAGATCAGACCGTCATCTGCTGCAACCCTACCTGCACTATGAAGTTAACAGACTGGGCTTGTTTCCACCGCTTCTAACTTTGATTCTAGCCTAGTTATTGCAATCAAAATTGCTAGTTATTGCCCTCAAAAGCAACTTAGCTGCAAAATTTAAGCTTATTTTGGAACACTTTCCCCCCCATGCACACATCCAGACTCTTAACATGAGACTGGATGCATTAAGGGAAAATTAACTACCGTAACTCCTTGTACGGACTCTTCATAGCTATTTAACTACCACTTGATTTCCTGATAGTCAGACTGAAGACAAAGCCCACTGGAGCGCAGCTAGAGAGAACCGCACCTCACTCCCACCACCAACCTTCGGAAAGCGTTGTCAGCCCTCCACAGAGTGCCTCAGGGAGTTCGCTGCCCCTCCCCTCCCCGGAGCCAGACTCACACAGACCCAGGCGGACTGCCGACCCCACAGCCCCGGGCAGCCGAGCCCCGACCCGCGAACAGACTTCGTCTTCGCCCTCACCCCGATGGTCCGCACTCGCGCGTTAAAGATGCGGCCCTGCCGCTGCAGCTCGCGCTGCCGCCGCCGCTCCAGAGCAGCCGCCTCCTGCAAGTCCCGCCGCGCGCTCAGCCCGCTCATAGCGCCGGCAAGCAGCGCGAGCGGCGACAATGGCCGCTAAGGCACAACACACCGGGTCGCCATGGGGACGAGCTCCCGCCCCCTCCCCCCCTCAGCGCTCGCTGGCCAATCAGGCGAGGCCGCGCGGCCGCGAGCACGAGGCAGGCGGCGCCGTTGTGCGTCGGCTGCTGAAGGGCGAAGTCGGGCCTGGCGGGTGTGCGGCTTAGCGCTCGTTTGGGCCGTCTGCTGCTCCAGCTGCGTACGCTGAGAGCTTTCTTTTCGCCTGTATCCCTTTCCTGAAGACAGACCGTTAAAAAATAATACTCGATAGTGTGAATTTTGTGTGAGGCTGAAGTTCAAAGTGGAATGGCCTTTGTACCCACGGCTTCAGGGATGGGCTACCTGAAGCTGCTGATAGTGAAGGACTTCAAGTCCTGGCGTGGGGAGCAGCTGATCGGCCCCTTCATGAGGTTCAACTGCATAATTGGGCCCAATGGATCAGGTAGGAGGCTGGGAAAGTGTCAGGGGCGTTTGGTGGCCATACGTGTCCTCCACAGTTGCCAAGATGGAGGCGTCTGTTGCCCTTGCCCTGCTTTCCCAGGCTTTTTCCCAGTCTTAGTTCTGGGCTCTTTGCCAGGTTGCTTAAAGCCTGATGAGGGAAAAAAGCCATAACAGCAAGTGCGTCCAAGTGTGGGCCCAGTAATAGGGCTACCACAGCTGGCACTGAATGGGCTGGAATGGCAGCAGCTTGTCCCTTGGGGGCAGAATTGCTTGATTTTTGCATAGGGGATGTAGACTTCTGTGGGCCTCTTCACAGGGACCTGTGGGCTTTTTTTGTCGTGGAAGTGTTTTATCATGTCAGTGATCATCTTTCAGCTCCCTCCACCCCAGAAGGTGGAGTAACAAAGTGCAGCAATACTAATAATGTCTTTTAACTTGTATTATTTGCATTGTGGAAAACAATTTAAAAATCTGCCATGTGATGAAGACAGACTTCAAGCTAGCGGGCTTAATTAGAGGCAGGGAATGTAATAGGAAAGATTTGGTCTAGATTTGATGAGGAAAAATAAATAAACATTAAGAAGAGGAGTCCAAGGAAAGCTGTTTGTGTCAAGTTGCATCATATTTTGAATGCTTTCCCTTTCACACGCTTAGAAAAATGGCAGTATTGCCACCAAACAGCCTCAGACATAGTTTCAGTGTTAGAGAAGAATCAGAGGGAACACATACAGTGTTTCTAGTATGATCCATGAAAATAATGTGAAAAAATATTAGAAGTATTAATGAAATGCGTGTGTTAAAATAGTGATGTTATAGGGGATGGTGTTTCACTCTCTTCCCTTTTGTAGTACTTCTCAGCTTGGTTGGTTTGGGCTGTGACACTGGGTGTACTTTGTCCTTCTCTCTCATCACTTCTTTTACTCTTTTTTTTTCCAACTGCTGCTTTCATTTTGTTTCTGTTCTTCATGTTTTCTGCACAAACTTCTGGAAGGTCCTGAGCTGCCATTGCTTCTCTAATGGAGGATATTGATTATCAGTTGATTTCTTCATTATTTTCATGGTCTTGTAGTACAAGCAGTTTGCAAACAGCACATGCAGCTGTGTAGGTCAACTTGGTGTGGTCAAATGAAGATGGTTTTACTCTAATGCTGTAATAATGCAAAATGGCTTCTTGATTCTGTTCTAGTCCTTGCCTTAAATGCCTTCTGAGGGGAGAGGGCGGCTTTTGGGGGATGGCAACTACTTCGGACACAGTAGTTTAGTCCCCAAGTCTTTGCTTGTCAGTGTGTCTCAGCATAGTTAGGTGGTGACTGCTGGAAGTTTTAAAAATGTGGCTCACTTCTGCTGAAAGCCCTATTCAAGCAAATGGGATTTTATTCTTTACTTGGCAGAGAACAAGGTGATGCTCTAATGAGGAGCCGCAAGGACAGGCTTAGCATTTGATCTTAGTTCCCCAGTCCATTAGTGATTTAGTTTATGATCTTGATTTTTAGATCCTGCTGTTCCTGCATTTTTTCAGTTGAAATGAGATCCATAAATAATGCTGTTCTTCCACAGCAGTTGTTCCCATTGCACAGCAACAGCCAAACATTGCTGTATGATTGGCACTGGGATAAAACCCAGGCATGTGGAAGGTCCAGTGCTGTGCTAACTCAAGTTGTGGGAAAAAAAATTGTGTTTCGATCCATTGGCTAAATGCAGTCCTGTCAACAGTGAAAAACAGGCTGCCCTGCGTTCCATTTTGATGAAGGGATTTGAGAGTAAGTTCCAAAATTGCTGGAAAAAAGTGTCAATTCTTTGTAAATACATTATCTGCAAATTTTCAGATGTAACATGTAGAGTAGTAATCACGTAATCAACTGAGAAATTTGATCATGTCTCTTTAGTAGCCTTTTATAAGACCTATCTTACCAGAGAGAAACATCCCTCGCTTCACAATGTGCCTTATTCACATCATCACTTTTTGGCAGTCTGCGCATTCGTGGATGAATATTTTCAAGTATACAATACCACCAATACAATCAATACATTTACTATGTATTTAATAAGTGGCCCAAGACAGTCAAGACAATTCCTCTTGACTCAGCGCAGCCCAGGCAGGCCAAAAGGTTGGACATGCATGATAAAAAAAAAAAGGGCTCTATGAAGTAAGCATTACGATAGTGTTAGTTCAGTAATAGTTAGTAAGTAGTTTACTGTTACTAAATAGTTTAGTAAGTAATGACAGTAAAGTTTGTTCTACCAAGCTAAATAAATAACAGGAGAGTTTTTGATGATTTTTATTAAAGATTAGCTTTTATCTGCTGCCTCTGTTGCATTTCAGAAATGCATTTCTTCATTGTATGCAATATGTTTTCCTCAACAAAATACAGAATTAGAATTCTTGAAGACTTTTGTGTCTGCATTTGTATTTTTAATTAATTGTTAATCTTATCCCTCCTTCAGTTTCTTCTGTGTCAGAGCATTGACTTGTTTGTTTGTTTCTAGGAAAATCTAACATAATGGATGCTGTTAGTTTTGTGCTGTGTGAAAAGATATCTAATTTGCGAGTTAAAAGTGTTCGAGAACTAATTCATGGAGCACATGTTGGCAAACCAGTTTCTTCTACAGCAAGTGTAAAGATAGTATACTGTGAAGAAGATGGGGAAGAAAAAACATTTTCAAGAGTTATCCGTGGTAGGTGGCAGGTCCTTTTGGATGTACATTCTGTGGTCTGATACCTAAAAAATGAAGACCAAGAATAGTTAAGAAGTATTTGAAATTCAAACTTACAGTCCATGAGCAGCATCTTGATTTCAAGTGTAAAAATTGCAGAAAACGTATACTAAGGGTAATGTTAAAAATTAACCAAGGTGTAAGAGAATAGTTGAAGTCCATTTTCTTTGAGGAAGTTGCTCAGGAAAAAAATGTGGAATAATTTTACTGATGTATTTTCTGTTGCAGCCTTTTTAACGTGATTGTTTTTTCTTTTCTCTTTCAGATGGTTGTTCAGAATATATTTTCAATGATAAGTCTATTACCCGGTCCGCTTACATATCTGAGCTTGAAAAAATAGGCATACTTGTCAAAGCTAGGAATTGTCTTATTTTTCAGGTGAGCACTTAGGGTACTTCATAAGAAAATAAGTTTCTGAGATTATTTGATATCTGTAACAGTTACCTATTCAATATTCAATCTAGTTTCAAGGTGCTTTCAAGCCAATGAACTTTATCTTGGCCTTATAAAAGAATTTTATGTCTTTGAAATGAGAATGATAGACCTTGTGTGTAGAGGATTACATTAGGAGGAAAGGGGCTAATTTGGAAGAATGCTTATTTCTTCAAAATAGAAGATGTAGATCTTTTAAAAGTTTGCAGTGTTAGTTTCTAAAAATATTATATGGTGCAAACATTTTTCTTTTTATAACGCTGATCTAGAGAGATGAAAATTTGTAAGACTATCTTTTAGGGATTGAAAATCCTGTTATTACTTCAAAAGTATTTAATGATACAAGTAATGAATTCATGTGCTTATGACACATAAGCTTATGTGCTCATGAGTATATTTCACATGATTGCCTTTCTTATGTTTCATTGAATTGTGATTGTGAAATCCCAAGGAAGTACTACTATTTTTCTTCTAGAAAAAACCTGGGTATGCATACTTTTTGTGATCATAATTCCTACTGTGAGGGTGTTTGCCCACCATAACAGCAGATTGAAGTCAGAAAATGTACTGAATACAGTTTTCTGAAAATGATAATTGCTTCAGGTCAGTGAAGATTTGAAAGCTAATGTGTGGACAAAGCTTGTGACCCGTTAGCCTTGGGAGTTGCAGAGTCTTCAAATACACTGACTTGAGCAATTACTCTCCTGAAGTGGCTGTTTTTGAAATTTTTTTCATTGTAAATGTCTTTCAGTTCTTTTAAAGAGGCCAGTGAGATAGAATTTTGTTTTTCTGATACTGCACTCTCCTTTGTTTAAGTAGATTTAATTTGAATGTGTATTTCTTAAGTAGTGTTTGATATTATAAAATTATTAATTGTAACTTGCTTAGTTGGCTAGATTATAGTCTTTTCCTAGCCTTTGAATCTATATATGTGTTTTCAATAATGCTAATCATTAAAATATCAGGAGATAAATCTGTATTATATGTCTTAAAGATGAAATTTATCATTCTACAATGGGATCTGCAGTGGTTCATTTTTTTTTTTTTTTTGCAATTTTGTGTTAGGGAACAGTAGAGTCAATTGCAATGAAGAAGCCAAAAGAAAGAACTCAACTTTTTGAACAAATCAGTAACTCATGGCAATATGCTGAGGAATATGAAAAAAAAAAGAAAAAAATGCAGCAAGCAGAAGAGGATGCACACTTCAATTATAACAAGAAAAAAAATATTGCAGCAGAACGCAAGCAAGCAAAGGTAGAGAAAGAAGAGGTAACTCAAAGTTACTACTTTTGTGTGTGTGTTTTTGTGTCTTCTGTGAACTTAGTTTTTAGGAATAAAATACCATTTTTTCATCTAGTATTTTTTCAGTATACTGTAAAATACGCATTTCTAAGTTATTTTAAATATTTTATTATAAAAACTAAATAAATTGAGGAGTAGAGTAGCCAGTATTATTATAGTAAGGCTTGACTTAGATATCTGAGTTTTAATAGTGTACATTACTGGTACATCAGCCTACATTGGACTTCAGATTAGACTGCTAGTGATCTAAAAATCATTTCTTAATCTAAAAATGAAATTTTAATGTTGGCAGGCAGAGCATTACCAGATGCTTGTCAGAGAACTGAATGCAAACAGGATACAGCTTCAGCTTTTCCAGCTCTATCACAATGAAAGAAGCATTGAATCTCTGAAAGAGAGTTTGGATGAAAAGAATATGGAAGCTAGGGTCAAGAAAGACTCCCTTTCTACAGCAGAAGATGCCTTTAGAGCAAAGAAAAAGGTGCTTGGTGTACTAAACAGAGACCAACAACACATAGAAAGGGAAATGAAGTAGGTTTTTCAATCAAGTTCTCTGATTTTTGAGTTAAAGCATAGTCTGCACTGGGAATTGCTTGGCAGGTGGGTGTTTCCTATTGAAGTGAGTAGGGTGATAACTCCTAATGCTATGGAAGTTGGGTTGTAGCATTTTACTTGAGTAGTAACTAAACATTGATTTTTTTATTGTTATTATTATTATTATTCCCCCCCAACATTACCAGCATTTTCAGTAGTTTAATTACTTGTTTGTTGTGAGATTTCAGGATTTTGTGCTGCATTTCTTCAGCTTTTATTTTCAGTGGATGTTTAAAAACAACACCTGTGGGTATGTAACCTTGCAGCTGACAATTGGTGGCTGATTTGCATGTTTGTTTGGAGGTGTTGTTTTATTTTTTGTTCTTTCAGGACTCTTCAGGCATCCCTGATTCAGCAGAAAGCCCTCTATATAAAAGCGAAGGAAAATACTTCCTACCAAATCAAGAAAGTAGAAATGTCTAAAAGATCTCTAAGGGACAAGGAGAAATACTGTGATAAGGAAAAACAGACCATAAAAGAACTGGAGATAGAATTGCATGATACTGAGAAGGCATGGAGACAATTTGAGAAGGAGACTGAAGAGGAGATATTGCTGAGAGTAGAACGTGTTGAGCTGAGAGAACATCAGGTGAATTGGGCAACCAGGGAACAAAATACTGTTTACTAGTGAAGTCTGAAATCTGCACTGATGACAAAGAAACTTCTTTTTTTTTTTCATCAGTAACCTGTTATTTTCTACTGTTCTTCTCATTGAGTTGAAACAAAACCAAAACTTCTTTTTTTTTGGGGGGGGACTGTTTAATCAGTTAAATAGAATTGATGCTTAAGCTTTTTAGGGTAGTGGAGCATCTCCTTTCTGGGAGAAGGGAAAGAAAATGACAAATTTGGAAGTTTTGAGTGGGAAACAGTTCTAAGAAAATGTATTTAAGTTGCAGAAAGAATCATAAATGTGCTATTCTAAGATTAGAAAGGATATGCAGTTCAGTGTTTAAAATCCATTTTCTAAGTAATATGAGAAGGTACTGGAGGAAGCAATGAATTTCCAGTGAAAAAGAAATAGAGAAAAATTTGGTGGAAACTTCAGAAGGGTTGTACGGAGGGACTCTCCTCTGTGGATTAGGGTTATAGCTACATAAATAAGTATCTAGAGCAAGGTTGAGAACTCTTCTTGTTCTGCTTTGTATTGTTTCCTTTCTTGTAGGAGTTCAGATAGTGCAGTGTGGGAAGGTAGAATAGAAAATACCACGTAGGGTCTTGGGGCTGAGATGATTCATTCTGAGAAATGGCATGTTGCTGTACTGTAGAAATACGTGTTCAGTTAGGAAAAAGAAATAGATGACAAATGCACGCAAGGCTTCATATTGTACATGCCATTTACTGTGGGTCAGAAGCTACTGCTGAGGTAACTTGTATTATTTGAAATATTAGAAGAAAATTGCAGTATTATTTTACTGTAAATTCACATTTTGAAAATCCACCTTCGAAACCATTTGTCCTGAAGCTCTTCTGTACCCAAATACTGCCTTCTCCTCATCCATTCGCAGAGAGCCTGAAGAGTTGCTTATTTAGCATGTGAATGTTATTTTGCACCTTGAACATATTTCTTAAATTAGTCATAACTTTGTGGGATTGCTTCAAGTACCGTTTCATGTGTTAGTCTTTAAATATAGATTTGATACCATTCTATCGCAGCATTTCTATGTTGTAATGATAAATTCAAAGCTTGCTCTAGTTTTAGACTGAGCGAAGACATTGTTTTAAACTTAATATTCACTGTAACGTACTGTCAACGTGGTAAAACAGAAGCTGTTAAATACCAGAATAGTTATTGCCTGTGGTCTTACTTAAGTGTAAGCTTTGAATTGAATCTTCCCTTAATAAAACGTAATGGATGGAAAGGCCTGCAGAATTCAGTGTCTTTTATAATACTAATTTTGATAAGGTAGGAAATTACTATTCGAGACTATAAAAACATGAGTTGTTTCATTTTCAGTGCAGTGATTTTTATTTTTTTTTTTGTTATTTGTTCAGCTGGAGCGCTATAAAGAACTAAAGGAAATTGCAAGGAGGGAAGTAGCTATGCTAACACAGCAGCTAGGTAAACTTCGTTGGGAGCAAAAAGCAGATGAAGAAAGGATGAAACTTTATCAGAGGAAGAAAAAGGAAATTAAGGTACTTGTATCAAGCTAGAATTGCACTTTAAGGAAAAAAATGTGCTTTTTCTGCACCCCTGCCTCTGGTATGAATGTCTGCATAAATGTGTTAAATGCTGTGACAGAAATCCTTGGCGAAAGAGATAAATGGCAAGTATTCACACATTTCTCATATTGCAGCAGGTTTAGAAAAATGACTTAATTTTTTTTCAGAGAATGATTGCACGGGTCAATGCTAAGGGTTGCTTTGAACAGTCTGGCTCTAGCATTTCACAGTTACTATGTACAGGACATGTACATAACTCTAAGAAGTTCCTAGTTCTATAAACTTAATTCTTCTTTCAGAGGTTCCCTAGCATTTTTTATCTGTATGACTGTCATCCGCTCTTGACGTTTATTTTGTTTACAGCAGCTGAAATAGTTTGGAAGGGACTTGAAGGACCAGAATGAGAGAGAGGGAGAATCATCATGATCACTGTGGTATTGCAGTTCAGAGAAAATGCCTGTGAATATAGATATCTACTATCATTCTGCTTCTAATGTACATGATTACACATCTGATCTTACTATGCTTGATACGCTCTCTTAGAAAAATTATTTCCAAGCTTGTTCTGCTTTGTGTCATGCTTCTAGAAGCTCAACTGATGATCTTTCTTTCAATAGAATGCTTGCACTACGATGTTTTTATATTTATTTTTCCCAACTATGCCAACATGGCAACATGCTTTTTTTTTTGCTTTTTTTTTTTTTTCACCATTTAGTTGTGGAGTCAAGGTTTGGAGGAGACTCTTGTTTGGAAAGCTCAAATTAGTCAGATGAGATGTTACCAGTTCTAGGAGTACTAACACTTAAGTGATCTAAGTATAAATTTGCTTATAGAGAAAAGTGAGTATTTTACTTGATAACTTTGAGAGTGTGAAGTCATCCTTGCTATCAGATTTAAGGTAATACTTGTACATTTGTTCGCTGTTTATGATACTACTTTTTCTTGTTGAAGGACTAGCTATCAGAAGAAGCTATTCAATGACTAGAAGTAAAAAAGAAGTTCCACTCGTTATGCTTCTGAAACTCCACAAATCATATTTCAGTGTTCAGAAAGAAATAAGGGATGCTGAGATTTCATAAAATGCTTGTCTGACCATTAAGAGTTGCCAGTATTCATCTGTGCTGTTGACTGCTGATAACTACTCCCCACACTCAGATACACATGTGACCGTAGCAAGCTTGTACTGCCAGTGTAAGAAAGACTGTGGCATCCAAGTACACTAGTGGGCCACCATGCTCATTGGGGTTGGAACACTTGGCATAGCAGGAGAGGCTATTTGAGCTGTATTTCTTCATCTTGTAGAAAGAAAAGCAAAGAGGAGACCTTAGTGCTACCTGTAACTACCTAGTGGGAGGATATGAGCAAAATAGTTACTTTCTGGAGGTGCACAGTGATAGAATGGGATACATCAGGTGCAGTTTGGAATGTGGGAAACTGAGTAAACTGGAAATAGTCAAACGTTGAAATGAGTGTGCAGGAAGACTGGAGTCTCTGTCCCTGAACTATTGAAAATTTATCAGGACAAGGCCTTAAAACAAGCTTGTATGAATGACTTTCCTTTGCATCAGCTGGTGAACTAGCAAGCTCCAGAGGTCCCTTTCAAACTGTTACTCTGTAGTTCAGTAACAGCTGTTGTTATGTATGTGAAATTTCAGCTAAAACAAGATGGATCTTAGCGCTTCAGTATTTTGCCCACAAATCCACTTACCTCCTTCAAATTTCTGGAGATAGCAAGACCAGCCTGGACACCTACCTGTGCAGCCTGCTGTAGGGGGCGTGCTTTGCAGGGGGGTTGGATTTAATGCTCCCTAGAGGTCCCTTCCAGTGCTCACAGTTCAGTGATTCTGTGAAACGCAGATGTCAGATCATTAGTGCGCATTGCTAGAAGATCTGTCTGTAAAAGACAAGTGATTAAAAGAGACCAATATATTTAAAACTGTAGATGATAGAGATATGTAAGATGTTTTGAAAGGAAACGGTAGGTCTCAAGGATTTCAGAAGGCATGACTTAATAAAATACTAAGTAACTTTAGGATTTTCTTCTTCTTGCTGCAGTTTATGGATTTTCATTCAGTTTAGGTAACTGAAAAGACTTATTTTGTTGCTGGTTTGGTTATGCTAATACAATGATTTTAGGTAGGAATTTCCATGACAACTTAATGTTTTTAGAATAAAGCTTTTATTAACCTTTTGAAAAGAAAAGAATCTTTTTTGCTTTAAAAGCTGTAATTCACTAACTTTGTGTTTAAAATTGTTTCATTTGATATGAGGCTTTCTCTTAACTGTTGCTGAACACAAAAGGTATGGTAGTGTCCTTTGTAAGGTGAAATTATTTTGTTCTTCATGGTGCACCTTATCTACTGATGAGAAAGATACTGTTTCTTCAGCATGTGGTATGTAAAGGGAAGAATAGGTAATGTTTTAGTACTTAAACTAAATTAAGAGCTTTGTGTCTTGTTGGGAAAAAAAAATAGTATTTTTATTTGTTTTTATAACACAATCTGTTTGTGATTGCCTAGGAAACCATTGTACAGACTGTGGAACAGATAGAAGAGTATAAGAAAAAAGTAGAGAAGTTGGAAGAATATACTAAGAAATGCACGTATGTTTAAAAATGAAAATTCGTTCTTTTATGTTATGTATTTTCAGGGTTGGTTTGTTTGTGATTGTGATGTTAATATTTCAGTTACTTCAGCTTGAATTATGATGAATTCTGCATATTAGGAATTACAATGACTTATCTGTTGTTTGAAACAGTTCTCTTATGGATGCGTAGATCATGTCACTGTGGGTAGGGGTTGGGGCTATTAATGGCTAATGGGGCTAATTAAATTCTCAGGGTATAAAGCAGTTCTGTAGTGCTGCTTTAGAAACAAGTTAATATCAACCTTGTGGATTAGAAGCTTTTGTCAGTTGTCCCTTTGTTTCCTGTGTCGTTTTCATTCTTTGTGAAATAGAGTATGCAAGCTGTACATTGAGCAGCTTGATTCAGCTTTTGTATTAGCCCTGTGTTCTGCAAGAAATCAGGGTAGATATTTTCAGAGATTGCTTTCAACCTGTCTTCTTCTATGCATCTGCAACGTGTGCTTTGGCTTAGCAATGCTGTCTGCGTACTGAAAAAAGTTCTGCCACGGACAGAGAGCAACCAATCCATTGTGACTATGATGCAAAAAATTATTTTAATCAAGTAGTTAATAGTAGAGTCTTTGAAAGGGTGCAGTGTCATTATACTTACGAGTGAGAATTTTCAGGCTTTTTTAGTTTCACAGTATCAGACCTTTTATTAGTAGCAGGTAAAATAGTGTATTTTTATATACACGCAGCCATATATTCTCACTTGAAATTAATTTTGGAACCTTAAAAGCTGTGTATATTGTGGAGTGCAACTCAGTAAGCGACTTGTTTCGTGAGGGCTGCTCTAAAAGCAGTGCCTGCTATGTTGGCCCACAATATTAGAGGCAGATGTTGGTAGAATGGCAACAGTGGTTGAACCTTCCTGTCAATATACTGTTACATTTTGTTGCTGTGCAACAGATGGCAGCAGAGGGGCATGCTGACAAAACAGCATCTGACATGGACACGTGTATGAAACTAAGGTGTGGAGCTGGAATTCCTTCATGCTGAAAAAATTGCACCCATTGACATTCACTGATGTTTGTGCAGTGTTTATGGAGACTAAACAGTGGATGTTAGCACAGTAAGGGTATGGGTGGTGCATTTCACCAGTAATTTTTTTTTTGTAATCTGTGACCACAGAATGATTTCAATTTTATAAGCCGAAAGCTTGTATAATTGTAAAAGTAAATTGCTTTACTGTTTTTGCTTCTGTTCAAAGTGAGTCACTTACAGAAGAAAAAAAGAAGGAGGAAATGCTAGCTAAGGAAATGGAGAATTCAACAACGCGAATAGCTGAAGTGAATGAAGAATTGAACAAAATAGTTGGTGAACTACAGAATGCCAGAATTGATTACCATGAAGGAAAGCGTCAGCAAATGAGAGCAGAGATTGTTGAAAGCCTTAAAAGACTGTATCCAGACTCTGTGGTAATTGAATGATTTCATTTAATGCCTTATTTCAGTATTACAAACTGAGAGCTCTGCTTTAGCATGAATAAGCAGCTGTCCTGTATGATATTTTGAGCTTAAGTGCACTTGGCAAAATACAATGATAGAATCATTTGTGTTGGAATGAACTTTATAAGGTCATCTAGTCCTGCTTCCCTGCAGGGACATCTATAGCCACATCAGGTTGCTTAGATCCCAGTCCAGCCTGACCATGAATGTTTCCAGGGATGGAGCCTCCACCACTTCTCTGGATGACCTGTGTCAGTGCTTTGCTACTCTTATCATAAAAAAATATTTCTTTATATCCAATCTAAATCTTCCCTCTTTAGGTTTGAAATCTTCCCTCTTTAGGTTTCCCCTTTTCTTATCACAACAGACCCTGCTAAAGAGTGTGCCCCTCTTCAGACACTGAAAGGCTGCTAGAAACTAGGAGCATACAGACTACTGCTTGCATCCAAAAATAATTTTGATTTTGTGTACTTCTTGTGGAGTGTGATTTATTTAGTTTTTGGATTTGTTTTCTTCTAGAACTTCAGAACATATTTTTAACATGTTTATTTTGAAGAAATTAATGGGAAAGTTAGCTATAAGACCACTTATCCCAAAAAGAATACTCAGGAACATGAGATTTTTATGTTCCCACATGATTTGCTTAGCATATACCATATTTTACTGAAATTACTCTTAAGGTACTGTCTGTTTTGTGGATGCCGATACTGCATTTTCTTAAGACCTCAAAATATTTACCAAGATTGTTTTATGACTTATTTAAACCATTTATAGACACTTTTAAAGATAGTCCTTCTGATATTACTACTTGCGAGTTGTTTCCACCTCTTTAATACATCTGATCAATTGCATCTCCAGGTATGTCTTTGTGTGCATGTCCTCATCCGTTCTCATTTTAGACATACAGCCTGGGATACTGTTTTGAAAACAGTGCTTGTAAGGTGACACCTGTGGTTCTTACGCTAGCATAAAAACATAGAATGGTGTGTTTTGCTTCTCTGTCTTTGGAACCTTCTCAAACTGTGGTGTTTGTTTTTTGAAGAGAGAAATAAATTTGGTTTTTGATTCTGCTTCACAGGTTTTTCAGTTCATATTGATAAGGTATAAAAAAAATAATCAAAGGTATGATTGCATGTATGTTTTTGCTAGCTTTTTGTGTTGAAACCCTGCATGAGAAGAATTGGACTGTTTCTTGCTGGCCTAGAGAAGATCAGATGTTGAGGGTGCTCTCAATCATTTCCCTTCAGGAACTGCAAATAGAATAGTTTCAAACAAATGAAAGGTGGATAAGTTGAAACACCAGCATGTAAGGTAGCAGCATTGCTTTTGAGCTGCTCCTTATGCTCTGATGAATTAATTCCAGATTACTGGATACAGTCCAAATTAAAGTCTCAGGGTAAAAGAATCCTGAGATTTCATCTTCTTATAATCCAGTAAGTCAGAACTGGGTGGAAATTTTAGTGTCAGTTGAATTCATTGGTAAAAAGTAGTAATGGCTTACTGCTTCTAAATGCTTAGATCTAGAATATTAAAGTTTCTGTACTTCTGTTCAAAGGTACTTTTAATAGTTGGTGAGCGTTTGTAGTACTGCAGTAGCCATGCAGCAGTGTGAGTCCTGCTGCGTGAGTGCCTTTTCATTGGTCTGATTAACAAAATGAGTGTCACAGCTTATTACAGTTTTTATCATTCCTGCATCACTGGATTGGAAATATTACTATTTTTTTGAAGATTTGGTTGGACTGCCCATGTTTATTTCCCTAACAGCATGGCATTCCACCTGCAGTTATAATGCTCAGGATATGTATTAGTGCATAGCTTCAGTCTTTCAGAGAAAGGTCACCTGTGTCTAAAGTTTCAAAATTAAAACAAATGACATCTAGGGAGTACATAGAGCAAATAAATTAAGATACTCTAGGATCAGATTATGGATGGAAGCTATTGTTGAATGGCAGTGAAAGTGAATATATTTGTAAAACTTGAAAGAATACTTCTGGCTTGTAAGTGATTTTTTTGTGGTAGGTATTTGTTTATTGCATGACAGTGATATCTGATCATACTTACATGTTTAATTTGCTTTCATCTGCAGCAAACAGTCAGTGATTACCGAGATTTAGATTTACCGTCACACTGCAGAATTAGTATGCACATGCAATTAATTTTGCTTGTGGAGGTCATGTCTTAATATGAGGCAAAATAGTCTTATTTGAATTACTCAGTACAAGAAAAGCAGGTTGAACTGGTTTCGTGCTATTAATAGATGCAGATACTTCTTTTTTCAGTTAAAACTGCAGTAGTAAGCAATAGTGCCTTTCTTGTTCTCATTTTCCAGTGAACTGCTCTAATTACATAGCTTGCTCTAAAATAACGCCTCCTATTTATTTCCATAGAACAGATATGAAGAGCACAGTAATATTATTTGATAGAAAAAATTCTCAGGTACAGTAATTAGTTTTCAATGAAGTCACCACCGTTATCGGGTTCACTTGAATGAGCTGATAGAGACACTCTTCATTTCATGGTGTGACACCTGTGCAGAGACATCCAGGATGCGACTTGCCTTTCACCACTGCTGAAACAAGCCACACACTGCCTCACTGTGCTCACATCCACTGTTTGGTCTCCATAAACGTTCAGCAAATGTCAGTGTTGCAACTTTTTCTACACGCAGGCATTCAGCAACATGCCTTTGCTCTATACGCACTTCCATGTCAAACACTGTTTTGTCAGACTGACCCTTTGCTGCCATCTGTCACATGACAACATAACGTAATGGAATGTTGATAGGAAGGCTCAACCTTTACTGCCAGCATCCACCCTGATGTAGTGGGGTATTGTAATAAAACAGGGGGCATTACTTTTGGAGCAGCCCTTGTAATTAGGACCACATCATCAGTCAAAGGTCTTATATGCTACGTAGTTTCATTTCTGCAAAGATGCTTAACAAGTTTTACTATTGTTATTATATCATACTTCTAAAAGTATTTGCTAATAATTCCTAGTAAGACATTAACAGTCACCTTAGATAAAAATTAAATCTGTTCAGATTTTGAAAGCATACTTTAGTGCTTGATCTGGTGATTGCTGCAATTTACATTTTTCTGTCATAGGCCCATTGTAAGAAAGCACAGATTATAGGCATGTAACACATTTTACTTCTACTACTTCAAGATCTTGCATGCAGAAATTCTTCTTGATATCTGTAATTAAGTTTTTATTTCTCTCTGTATATTTTATTTTCAGTTTGGAAGATTGCTTGATCTGTGCCATCCTATTCATAAGAAATATCAGCTTGCCGTTACCAAAGTATTCAGCAAATATGTGACTGCTATTGTTGTTGCCACTGAAAAAACAGCAAGAGATTGCATTCAGTTCCTAAAACAAGAACGAGCTGAACCTGAAACTTTCCTTGCTTTGGATTACCTTGAGGCAAGTATATTTTTGCTGTCATCAGCAAGTTGTAAATCTTAATGCTGGCTCATTAAATGGGCTTACGTGGTAAGGGAAAGCAAACATAATAGCTCAAAAAATGTCATGCTGTCTTCTCCTATATACTTAGATGTTTTATGCCTGTGGAAATAGTATCACAAACCAGTTAAGTTTGGATGTCATCTTGTACAACCACCCTGCTCAAGCAGGGCCAACTACATCAGGTTGCCCAAGTAATTTCTGAAAATCTTCAAGCATGGTGATGCCACGGTTTCTTTGGGCAGTCTGGTTCATTGCTCAGTCACACACACAGTAAAGAAACGTTTTCTCATGTTCAGATGAAACCTCCTGTGTTCCAGTTTGTGCCTACTGCCTCTTGTTTTGTTGCTGGGCACCACAAAAAATAAAGCACGATTCTGCAGTCTTTATACCTTCCCTTCAGATACATGTACACACAAGTCTCCCCCCCCCCATGTGTCTCTTTTACTGGAGAGCCTAGGCCTGGACAGTTTTCTCCTCAGCAATGCTGAAGAGGGGGGAAGGATCACCTGCCTCAGCCTGCTGGCAACATTGCTTCCAATTCAGCCGAAGATGCTTTTAACCTTCCTCTCTCCTAGGGCACGTTACTGACTTATGTTCAACTTTGTGTCTACCAGGACACTGGTTCTTTTCTGCCAGGCTGCTTTTCTGGTTGTCAGCCCACAGAGCGTACTGAAGTGTGGTGTAATTCCTCCCCAGGGACAGAACTTTGTACTTAACGTTTGTTGAATTCTGAGAAGTTCTCACTGACCAGCTCTCCAGCCTATCTAGGTCCATCTGAAGGGATGCACGACCATCTGGCCTGGCAGCCATTCCTCCAAGTTCTGTGCCATCTGCAAACTTGCTGAAGGTGCCCTTGTCCCCCATCATCCTGATTGTCAATGAAGATGTTCAGCAGGACGGGACCCAGTATTGACTCCTGGGATACATACCTAGTTACTGGCCAGAAACTGAAGTTTGTGCTGCTGATCACCTCTCTCTGGCCTGGCAGTTCAACCAGTTTTCAACCCACCATACTGTCTACTCAACCTACCCATACATCAACTGCTTATCTATGAGGATCTTATGGGAGAAAGTGTCAGAAGCCTTACTAAAGTCTAGACAGACAATATCCACTGCTGTCCTCTCATCCACCAGGCAAGTCACTTATTTGTGGAGGTTTATCAGGTTGGTGAGACGTGGTGAACCTGGCAAGTCTGCGCTGACTATTCCTGATGACTTCATTGTGATTTATATACTTGGAAATGGTTTCCAAGATTGATCACCTTCCCTGGGTTTAAGGTGCAGATGATCTGACTCTAGTTTTGTGGGTTCTTCTCCTTGCACCTTCTGGAAGATTGGAGTGACATTTGCTCTCCTTGAGTTCGTGGGCATTTCTCCCAGTAATGGTGACTGTTGAAAGGTTGTTGAGAGTGGTCTTGCAGTGACATCAGCCAGCTCCCTCAGCATTTGTGGATGCACCCCCTCAGGGCTTCCAGATTCCTTCTGCATGTCCAGATGGCTTTAGCATTGCTCAACCTGATCTTCTTCCAATAGCAGTACATCTTTTCTTGCTCCTGCTTTCTCTTCTAGTGGCATTCCTGAAGGTCTGTCTAGATATATCCTGTGTACCAAGTCTCATGCAGCGTTCAGCTGCACTTTCTCTCCTCTTACTTTTGTCATCTGTGTACTGGCAGAAGCCCTTCTGACATCCCTTGCCAGATTCAATTCCATTTGTACTTTGCTTTCCTTAACAACATATTTGCATGCTCGTCCAGTGCCTCTTTTCCTGCCAGATTATCCTTCCAGCTTCCATCGCATGTATGCTTCCTTTTTCTCATTATTATTATTAATATTTAATTTTTTTTTTTCTTTTTACCAGTAATGATTTGTTTTTCCATGGCATTTTTTCTTGACTTACTGCTTGTTGATATGGGCCACTCCTGGAGGAGAGATCTTTGAATATAAACTAGCATTCTTGGGCCACTCTTCAATTCAGAGCCTTGTCCCTTGGGACTTTCCCACACAGATCCTTGAAGGGACCAAAATAGCTTTGCTGAAGTCCAGCTCTTGCTTTTTGCCCTACTCTGTTCGCTCAGGTTTCTGAGCTACCTTATCTTATTATTGATCATTGCAGCCAAGGTTGCCTTCTATCTGCAGGTCACCAATGAACCTCTCCTTGTTGGTGAGTATGAGGTCCAGCAGAGCTCCTCTCCTCTTAGGCTCCTCCCTCACTTTGTGTGAAGAAGTTGTCAGTGATCTTCAGGAACCTCCTGAATTAGTCATGCCCTCTTCTGTAATTCCTTGAGCAGATTACAAGCTTAATCCACTTTGTCTTCATGGTGAAGTGTCCTTTTGCAGACTCCCACTATAGTGTAACTCATCCTTTTTTTTTTGTTTGTTTGTTTTCCTTACCAACTATCTCTTATTTCACCAAGCAGAGCTCTGTCAGTGCAGCTGACATCCTCGCATACAGGGCATCTCCAGCTCATGTTCACAAACTGGCTTTCGTCGAAAGACGATGTTTCCATTGCAGCACTCCAATCATGTGAGCCATCTCAGTATGTCTACATGATCCCGAGATTGTTGCCCTGCAACTGCAAGCAGATCTCTTAAACTCATCTTGTTTATTTCTCATGCGTGTCCTAGTGTATGTGCACTTCATGTACAGTAAGAGACATAAATCCCAGGACTGGTATTGCACACAGAACATGAAAAACAGATGTTTCTGGTCTTGTAGCAGTTGATACCCATTGTTTTGATTTGTACATCTTGTTTCCAGACCATTGAAATTTGGATATGGTTTGCTGTTACAACTTGAATTTTAAGCAGCACATATTTGCTTTAAAGGTCAAGCCCATCAATGAGAGGTTAAGAGAGATAAAAGGAGCTAAAATGATTGTGGATGTTGTGCAGACTCCATTTGCTCCATTGAAAAAAGTGATTCAGTTTGTGAGTGGGAACGGCTTGGTCTGTGAAACAGTTAAAGAAGCAAGACAAATAGCATTTGATGGACCAGTGAGATTGAAGGTAAGAGGGTGAATTTGTTTGCACGTGTTATGCATTTGATGCCATTTAAATAATATTTCTATGAGCATCCCACAAACTACTGCAGAAAAACACAAAAATTATACCTTGCTGTTCAAACTCCTTCTACATAAGGCACCAATATTTCACATGCTTACATTTTCCTCTGCATGGTACATATAAATGATTTCCTGAGAAAAGGAAATAAATTAGAAAAGATAATATTAGCATCCAGACATACTTCTTGACATTGTCCTCTACTTTTGAAAGGAAGGATGAGGAAAAAAGAATAATCATTCTTAAAACCATCCAATTTAAAAATAAAAACGTCATCTTTCTAGCTTTGCCGTGAAGAAGTGCTTTCAAAATTTATTTTAATAATCTCTATTTTTTAGACAGTTGCAATTGTAGACTATAAATTGAAGAGGCAGCTTCTTTCTCCTTTTGTACCATTTTTTCTTTTCAGCCATCTCTCTACTTCTTTCATTGTCAGTAGAGCACTTTTACACGCTTACTAAGCCTTTTAAAAATGTGATTGAAACAGCTCTAAGTTGAAGATGAATGTGAAGTCATGTTCTCTTGAAATTAGGTTAACTCCCCCCAAACTCCATTTTCTTTACTAAAATTTACGTTTCCTTTTTACAGATGAGCTGTTTGTTTTTCCAGCTGCCTAGATTTCCTCCTCTCCATTATCACCTTGCTTGTTTTGCTTTTCTGACCTGGCTATAATCTTCATTGCCAATGTACACGAATCTCTCATTAATTTCCTAAACACAAGGAAATGATAGCATTTCATTTCCCTTTTTGATCTGTTGTAATAATACCAAACTGTGACTTGTGCCAAGAAACAGCAGGCTTTTTTTGTGTATTTCATGTTAGCATATTTTGGAACAGGGTAGAAGTATGGACTCCCAACTAACATGCATTGGTCACCTGCTTAACCACCATATTTTGGTTCCCTGTTTCACAGTATAATTTGGCTGGTTTGTATAAAGAAAAATTTTAATTTAATTTTTACTTGCAGACAGTGGCACTTGATGGGACGTTATTTCTGAAATCTGGAGTGATTTCTGGAGGATCTAGTGATTTAAGAGTTAAAGCTAGATGCTGGGATGATAAAGAAATAAATAAAATGAAAGAAAGAAGAGATACATTGATTACCGAGTTGAAGGTAGGCCTCTTAAAAAAGTACTTAACTGCAAAAGGCTGTAAGTTGCATTTACTTTAACTTAGCTGTGGGAGAGAGATAAAGATGAGTCTCAAAACTTCTGGAAGCAGCAAAGAGAGAGTAGTTGTTTATACTCTTAGTTTTTGGTAAGGTAATATAGGTCCCTGTCTTTGGCTCATGGGTTGGTTAGCACATTACAGAGGTGGAGAACCAATCAAACATAATACGTAGTTCTCCAGGGGAAAGGAGTTATGTTCCCAAAGACTTTTAGCAAAAAAGTCAATACATTCTACCCACATGAAAATGTTTGCACAGTCCAAAACCTGGCAATGTAAAATTTGCCATACATCTAGTAATCTCGGACTGCTTGAGGAGAGAGTAGAAATTTGTATATGTACGCTTTTTCTTGAGAAATAAATCTGTGCAGAATGACTATTGAATATGACCAGTGCTATCAGCATTTTCCTTCCACATGGCCTTTCTCATTGAGGTTGGCTTAAATAGCGCATGAAATTTGAAAAACAAGGAGTTTCCAAATAAGAAAGGCTTTGCTTTAAATGTTTTTTCTCTGTTCCCACTCTAATATTTTTCTAGGATTTAATGAAGATGAAACACAAAGAAGCTGATTTGAAACAGTTGCAAGCTCAGTGCCGTGGAACTCAGACACGACTTAAATACTCACAGAGTGAACTAGATCTTATTAAAAAGAAACATCTTCCTAATCTCTATATGGTGTAGTACTAAGACTTTATAATTTTCATGCTTAATCATTCTATTTTTATTTTACCTGAGCTGTAATTACCAGTGAAGTAAATACGAATTCCTTATAGAGGCTTTTTACTTTGGTTTTTTTTTTACATACAGCAGTTATGACTAAAGAATTACTAAAACATTTTTTTTAGTTAAAAAACAATTGAAATTATTTTTCTTAAAATTAGATCTAAAGTTAATTTGAATTTCTGCTAAGCTTGGTCTATCATTTAGTAATCTTCAAACTTCTGTAACTCAAATTGTGCTTATAAATTGTTTATGTCACTTGTTTTACTATTTACTAAGACTGTTGCTACTGCAGGTCAATCAGCAATGTGTGGGTAAATAACATTTAGTATTTTTAATCGGAAAAACAGTTAACCTGGTTCAGAAATGTGTTAGTTTCTAGAAAGCTGACCATCTCGTTAAGAAAAGTTACTATTTTTTTCTCTTCTATGTAGGAAAAATCAAAGCTGGAAAGTGAACTGGTAAATACTGAGTCTCAGCATGATATGATAAAGGAAGGAGTAGTACAAAGAAAACTAAAACTGGAAGAATTACAGAAGCAGATTAATGAGGTAGGTCCTTCTGTCCTAGTCAGGACAGGAACAGGCTGCCCAGAGAAGTTATGGATGCTCCATCCCTGGAGGCATTTAAGGTCAGCATGGGTGAGGCTCTGGGCAGTTTGTCTAGTGGCAGTGCTGCCTGTAGCACGGAATTATAAGCTTAGTGAGCTTTGATCCCTTCCAATCTAAGCAATTCTTTGCTTCTCTGCCTGGTAACTTCTACATGAAAGCCTGCTCTTTTGCACTTTTTATCAGAAACAGGAAAAGTTTTCTAAGATGTTACACGATCTAGCAGGTTAGATTTCCAGACTGTCTTTTCTGTAGACTGTTCTGCCACCTCATAACCCAGTTCCCTATCATTCTCTTCAGGCAGTCCCCAGAACAGTTCATACAGACAGCTGACATTCAAAAGTTCTGTTACTATGAAAGAATGAAGGAATTCAGTGAGGTGAATAATATTAAAGCCTAATCTGACAACAAAAGCAGTTTCATACTGTGTTCTACTAGAATTCTGGCAAATCTGTCCCTTCTCAGAAAAAAAATACGTCATTCCCTACTTCTTTTTGGAATCCACCTTTCTCATTACTTTTGCCAAACAATAGGGAATCTGGTAGAGACTGCCAAAGAGTGGTGCTGCAGTTCTAACAGGAAAATTCAAAGCCCTCTGCCTAAATACTTAGGTAATTGTAGATCTGTAGGCCATTTATAATCACTGTCTGGAGTTATTTGAGGTGTACAGTAATTCAGACTGATAAGAGGGTCGGAAACAAGGAACTTTCTTGAATTAATCTATGAGTGAAATTTTGTATGTGAAGAGAAACCAAAAATACTATGCCTTGTCTGTCTTCTTGTGGTACAGATGTGGGGGAGTGCAGATGTGAGTCATCTGCAGGCACTGAGAAAGTCATTAGTGTTTTGGCCATAAGAATCTTATATCCAGGTAATTTTCCCTGTACCGGGGGGAAACAAAAAACAACAGCAAAACAAGAAAGGCTGGCCATGAGTTTCCTAAGAATAGTGTAACTTGATTGGATATAGCATTTGGTGTCACATTAAGGGTGTCTGTAGCTTGGCCTACAGACCAACCGAAACAGTGTATACAAACTTGGTTTTTGCTTTGTGAAGTTGTTTTTGTTTTGTTCAGTCCATTGTTTTTACTGCTAACTGTACACTGTATAGTTAGGAAATCAGACTCTGTTGCATTCTTTTTTTTTTACTTTTTTTGCTGTGGCTCTGTTGTAAATGAGATGTAGCAATTAATATTTATGGCTATTTATTGAAAGGATTAAAATGAATGGGGCTACATCAAGAAGCTTAATGTAGCTCATTAGTGTCTTCTCTACTATTTCTCTTCTTAAGGTGAGTGGAAACCACGGACAAAACTAGGGAGGCTGCTTATACTGTAGTAATTTGAATTGCATTTATAATGACCAGGTGCTGGCAGGAAGAGTTTGGATGAAAGTAACATTTTGCAGATCATGCACTTTATATTCGGCATTTGTGCTGAAGCTCTTATTTGAAAATGTCAAGTACAGATTCTTTCTCCTTTCTGAGCTTGTTTCCTTTGAAAGCCTATAACACAAGATGATCATTTAAGCATTTTAATTCTGTGATTTGCAAAACAGCATAAGCATTTCTTTGCTCCTTTTCCATTTATTCAAAGGCAGAAGATGCTGTTTTCCAAGAATTCTGTGAAGAAATTGGCATTGAAAATATACGTGTGTATGAACAAGAACATGTGAAAAAACAAGAAGAGATTGATAAGAGAAGGTGGTATTTGTAATTAAAATATGAAAACAGTGTAGCATGTGAGTTGGGCATGTAGATGAGTAACTGTCATAGCATAAAAACAAAAAAAAATGGAAAATGTTATATTACCATTGCAATAATTAGTTAGCAGTTGCACAGCTGTGTTTTGGATTTATTAGACAGTACAGCCAGTGACATTTTGCAACAAACTTGAAGATAAAATGTGTTATTTTGGTTGTACTGTTGCAGAAAAATAAAGTAAATAATAGTTTTCTTAAATTCACATGAGAAGTGGCAGTTCAGGGTGATATGAAGGCTTACTCGTGGTCATAAATCTTAAAGGATGACTGAATGTAAGATGCAGTGACTTGATACAGAAATGTACTACTAAGGAAAATGGCATCTTAATTTTCTCAGACAACCTTCGGCTGGTATTCCACTCAGACAAGTGCATGTCACAGTACAACAAATATTTGACCACTTTGTATCTTTGATAACATACGTGTTGGAGAATTACTACTGTATTTTTGTAAGTTCCAGTATATCCATAGGATTTGGTATAGTGGAATCAATGATGGAAATATAAGTAAGTTCATGTGGTCTAGTAGGAAAGAGAGAGAGAGAGAGAGACAGAGAGAGACAGAGAGACAGAGAAAAAATTTAAAATCTATCTACTAATAGCATCAAGTCATGGTTACTAATCTACTTCTAAGTGTTGGCTTGAAATACTGTTCCTTCACCAGGTTGGAGTTTGAAAATCAGAAGACACGACTAAGTGTGCAGCTGGAATATAATCGTGAGCATCTACAGAAACTAATAGAAACCGTGAGCAAGTTAAGGGATGCTATTAATAAAGATGAATCTGAGATTACTGGATTACAGAAGGTGACTAATATATATATACGCATAGAAAATATCTGGGGCTGAAAGGAAGGATTGCATTCAGTCACACATAGTT